ACAGGGCTCCCCGGGATCGCGCTGGTCGCGACGATTTGGCATCAGGGCTCCGAGCAAGCCAATTTTTTGGCATCTCTCCTCGGCCGAGATCTCGGCATGGGCAGAGGCCTCCCACAGGGGGGCGCGCCGGAGTCTCCGCGGACCTTCACGACGGTCGTGGAGGCTCGGAGATGATGATTTGGAGGTTGGAGCCCGCTGGAACGCGCAGGGCAAGGGTTTCGGCATAGACGATGATTTCTCCAATCTCCTGCGTTTGCTACGCGGACGGCATTGTGCTCGCGGCCACGCCCATGGAGCACATGGAGGCGATGATCGCGGAAACGGTGACCGAATTCAAGGAAAACGGTCGTGGCGTAGGGCCACAGAACATTCGCTGGACTCGCCCCACCCAGATCAAGCCAGCATCTGCACGTGATGAACGATAAGGTGGCTTGGGAGAACGGCTTCACCTTTGTGGGCACAGCGATCGATTTCCAGGATACATCCGGTCCTGCAATCATCTGCCGAGAGGCCCAAGCAGACAAGGTTTTGCGCAAATGCTAGTCAATTCTAATGTGTGGTCGGATGGTTGGATGCCAAAATCGCGCCGCATGGGGCTGCTCCCAAAGACTGTATGGCCAGCGCTCCTCAGGAGCCCGAGCACCTGAATTCCGACCCAGAGCCATTAGAATCATATCGCGAGTTGGAGCGCAAGGCGAACGGCCAAGGCGCTCCGACTCCGCAGGGCGCCGTGGCAGTCGATCGACCTGTTGGTAGCGGCTCTGCCACAGGATGGGCCACCAGGTGATCGATTGGTGTTTTGCCAGTCTCGTGCAGCAGTGCCGCAAGGGAATCCACGGCTGCGCGGGTCACATTGCCCAGTTGCCAATCGACAGACCTGCCGCTCGGGCTCCCCCGCTGCCGCGGCAGGCAGTGGCGGAGGCGGCGGCCGGCGCAGCACGCAGCCACAAAAGACAAATGCTTGGGGCCGCATCTGCAGCGCCTCCGGACCTGGCGCTGGGAAGAGCTGATGTCGGAGGCTCCCTGAGGACGTCCATGCAAACACTGGCTGGCTCGCAGCTCGGTGCGATGAGCTGACCCAGGGCCGAGGGCAAGGTCGGCAGATTCGGGGGCGGCGCAGCCCAGGCTCTCGGTAGGCTCTTCAAGACAAAGAGAGGATAGGAGAGAGGGAGGAGGACGAGGAGGAGGAGGAGGAGGAGAAGAAAAGGAGGAGGAGGAGGAGGAGGACGAGGAGGACGAGGAGGACAAGGAGGAGGAGGAGGAGGAGGAGGAAGAGGAAGGGGACGAGGAGGAGGAGGAGGAGGAGGAGGAGGAGGAGGAGGAGGAGGAAGAGGAGGAACAGCATCAGCAGCAGCAGCGCAGCAGCAGTTGGAGCACGAGGCAAGATTCTGCTGCGGATCGCCACGAAACCTGGCTCCCACACGAACTCAGCAGATCGGGGCCCAGAGGAGGAGGAGGAGGAGGAGGAGGAGGACTTGAGTAAATTGTTGTCGCTTCGCGAATCCCCACCAGCCCATCCAGAAACGATGCCCAGAGGAATTGCCTCGATCAGAGAAGTGGGCAGCACACAGAGGAAGCCATTATGAGACATCTTGGGATATCTTGAGCCATCTTGGAGGTCATTTTGGGCTCTCCCAGACGCTCTTGGAGTCATCTTAATCCGTGCCCCCCCCCAAGAGGCCTCCATGTGGCTAAAACCTGTGTAGAATCAATGATTAGGCATTCTCGCCGAGGCCTCTTGGAGCATCTTGGGTGCATCTGGGGGGGCTCTTGGGGCCTCTTGGGGGTCTCTTGGGGGCCTCCGGGGGGCCTCTTGGGGGCCTCTTGGGGCCATTTTGGGGCCATCTTGGGACCTCTTGGGGCTTCCTGGGCGCTTCTTGGGGCCATCTTGGAGGAGATCGATCAAACAAGAGGGGGGGTTTAATTAGCGTCCCCCCTCGGAAGCCCCTAAAATCGCCTCTTGGACCCCTCTTGGAACGCTCTTGGAGTGCTCTTGGGCGCTCTTGGGGCCGTCTTGGGGCTCTTTTGGGGCTCTCTTGGGGCCCTCTTGGGCCATCTTGGAACCATCTCCAGGCCTCGGATGGCCATCGGAAGCGAAAAGGCGAGAAAGCAAAAATCATTGATTTTCCTTAGGTTTTGGGACGATTTTGGCCTCTTCGGGGCCTCCTTGGGGAGCTGTTTGGCCACTTGGAGTTATCTTGGGGCCGTCTTTGGGCTTCTTGGAACCATCTTAGGAGCCATCTCGAGCGATCTTGCGCTATCTTGAGCCATCTTGGAGCTCATCTTGGGTTCTCTGAGGCGCTCTTGGAGCCGTCTTGGGCCATCTGGGACGCTCTAACTACCCGCGGCCCCCCCCGTCCAGGTCCAGGGGAGGGGGTAGGGGGAGGGGTAAACCCCTCCCCAAGGGGGAAGAGGGAGGGGTGGAAGAGGATCTGCTCTAGACCACCTACGCCCAGAGGGCTGGTGGGACTCAGGATGAATCAGCGACGTTGCAATGCCAGGTTCCCTGCTTCAGGCGTCCGTGGCCTTCCTCTCCATTGCAGGAAGCTCCCCAGTGAAGAACGCCCTACGGTCCTGCCATGCAGGCGAGAGCCCCGTCTTTTGAAAAACATGCCGCGCATTATTCATTCAGCGAATAATGTGGCACACGAGAAAGCATGGTACATGTCAACGAGGATTCCAGCGAGATCGCCATAAGGAAGGAAGGACCGCCCCGATCTGTGTTTCTGTGGCACAAAAATACGACGTGGGTCATGAGCTTTGAGGAAGTAACAAACGACAGCCACATGTTGAAAAAGAATATGCCTCTATCTTCGCAATTGCTACATGGATTCCTGGTCCTTGTCTTCATACTTCACGACTTCCGAAGAGGACCGCCCCCCCCTTGTCATGCAACAGTTGTATTTCATAAACGACGAACGTGCTCGGTGCAACGGCGAGAGCCACATTGTTGAAAACGGCCCCATTTTCATCTTTGTAACCGTTGAAAGATTTGGAAACGGTTGCGAGCGGCGCGAAGGCGACAACCATATTTTCAAAATGAACCGCCCTCCCTTGTAACGACTGCAAGCTTTCAAGACGAATGGCACTTGGTGACCGCGAGTGTCGGGTAGCTGCGCGCCGCCGACGCAGCGAGGCGCAACATACACAAAGCATCTCTCTACTTGCTGCAAGTGTTTGAGACGAGCGTGCGCGGCGCTGGGGCGAGAGTTCCATTCAGAAAACGATCCCCCATCCCATCCCATCCTTATAACTGTCTCAAGTTTTAAGACGAGCGCGCGCGGCGCCGCCTCCATCCGTGCAACGGTTGCAAGTTTCAAGTTCAAGCTTCATGGTCATAAATGGTGAGGACGCCTCTGGCAAAACGCCCGGCACGCCCGAACGACACGTCTGGGGGTGCAACGGGGAGGAGTCGTCTTTCAGGAGGAAAGATTCAGGAGGCTCGTGCTGCAACAGCCCTGAGCGCTGCGGGTGTGCGCGCCTGTCGCGGATTCGGAGAGGACGAGGAGGAGGAGGAGGACGGTTTTCGGCCAGGCGGCGCGCATATTCTTATGCCCGCATGGGACATTGTTCAGAGCCTGCCTTCCCAGTGCTGCGCGCTGCGTGCCTAACTTGTTGTGTTGTCACACGCCTCAGACGTTTTTTTTTGTACAGATGCTACAGCCGTACAGCCAAAGTCCACCTAGCGCCAAGGAGTGGTTTGCGATTGGTGTTGCCCAAGCGGACCTTCTCTGCCAAAAGATTGGATGAATGACGCGGGGTGTCGCCGCCTGGTGCCCGGTTGGTGCCTGCCCGTGTGCGCCACGCGAGCGTCTCGTGCGTTGGGTGGGTGCGGCGGGTTCTAACTTGGTGTTTGGCTGTCGCCTGCCAGCTGGCGCCTCGCGGGCCCCTCGCGCTGCCTAGCACACAGCTTGCGCCACGCAGGTCGCATCACGAAGCTCGCACCAACAGAGCTTTACACCACGCAGCCTGCATCACATAGCTTACATCCCATAGCTTACGCCACATAGCTTGCGCCACTAGCTCACACTACATAGCTTACACCATATATTGTGTATATATATATATATATCGATGCACACTGCACGACAAACCCAACAGCGCATCAATTGCGCCGCATAGCTTGCACCGCACAGCTTGCGCCACATGGCTTACACTACGTAGCTTACGCCACCTACTCAGCTTACACCACATGGCTTGGCTCACACAGCGTAACTTACGCCACCTAGCTGACACCACATGGCTTGCACTTCACGGTTTGCACCACATAGGTTGCCCGTCGAGGGTGCCAAAACGTATTGCTTGGGGTCCACGCCGGCAAACATGATTCCATTGTTGACATTCAGCTGTCCTTCGTTGACTTTTTCGGCCCCTCTGGGGGGGCCTGCTTGGGGCCACGGGGCCATCCGACATAATCGGTCTGGGGCTTGACAGGATGACCAGGATGGACCCCCGGGTGGGGATTGGGGATTGATTTTGAGCGGCGTTGAGCTGGGAGGGAGGAGGAGGAGGAGGAGGAGGAGGAGGGAGGAGGAGGAGGGAGAGAGGAGGAGGAGGGAGGAGGGGAGGAGGATGAGGGTGGAGGAGGAGGAGGAGAGGAGGAGGAGGAGGAGGGGGGGCCTTCAGATCCAAGGAACGTGAAAAGCTTCTCGCTCCCGCAGGCGCGGATGGGAGTGGATTCGTTGTTGCCCTGGGGAAGTCGCTCGCCGCAGACGCCGATTCTCCTTCCCCCGACAAGCTGCCACTGACCGGGCGGGGCTAGGACGAGTTTAAATCCGTTTTTCCAGAGCGTTCCAGAACGCTCTCAGAGCGTTCCGAAACGCTCTGAGAAGGCCGCGACGCCCGATACATCTTCCAGAGCCGCCGGATCTCAGAGATTCTCGATTTTTCCTCACCCGAAGTTATCCTCGTCCTGGCTTCGTCTTCCTCCTCCTCCTCCTCCTCCTCCTCCTCCTCCTCCTCCTCCTCCTCCTCCTCCTGCTGGCTTCTTCTCAGCAGAGGTCCTTCTACCGCCCGTGGGTGCCCTTCGTCACCACGATTTTCCTCTTCATCTTCGGCTCCAACTGGTCGGGCGCGCTCGTGCCCTGGAAGCTCCTCGAGCTGCCGGAGGGGGAGCTCGCGGCCCGAGCCTCGGGCGGCGCCTGCCCGGAAGGGGCTCGGCCCCAGGGGAGGAAACCCCACGCGCTACTCCTCGACGACGACGACGACGACGACGACGACGACGACGACGACGACGATCAAGCTGTGGCGAAGCGTCCTGGCTCGCCTATAGCCCTACCAAACAATGTTCTAAGAACCTTTTGTGGTTTCCGGGAAATGTTCTTAGAGCATTTCTGGTTGGGATTGTCTCGTTTTAACACATGGGGTGTATGTTCCAAGAACGTTGCTTTTGTTCTTAGAACATTTTGGGGTCACTTCGTGGTATGACTATAGGAATGCCGGGACGGTCGGTCCCTGTTCAAGACGACGACGACGAAGACGATGTTGGCGGCGGCGGCGGCGGCGACGACACACACGCACCACCTCTCGCTGCGACAGCAAAAAAGGCGACGGTTCGGGAGCAGCTCGTGGGAGCCTCGTGGGTCCTCGCGGGTTCGCCTCGAGGGTGCGTCGGCGCGCGCATTGCCTCGTCGTAATCGATGACAGAGCGCTGATTGAACGTCGAGGAGCGCCGATTTACTTTATTAGTGAATTTAATTGGTTTTAGGGTTTTAACAAATGGTCGCAGCCACGCAGAGGGCGTGCGTAGCGACGCCCAAAATGTTCGGTCTCCAGTACTTCTACGTGGCGGCGCCCCAGCAGGCACGCAGAGCTTCTAAAGACCAAACATGTTGAAAACCAATTGTTTCCACTACTACAGTAGCGTTTCACGTCGATTAGCTTCGATTAGCCTCGATTGGGTTCGGTGAGCGTCGTTTCGCAAGAGCCGGCAAGATGGCATCTGGGGCCCCCACGAGTTGCCACAGAACGACGGGAGGTTTTGGGCAATTTTCCACCTCCGGGGGCCCTCACCAGGCCTCGGGACCATCTACAGAAAGCAGCTCGGCATGAAAAGCATTCCTGGGGAAGGGGTCTAGACCTCTCGGTGTCGACGTCCTGACCAGAGTCAAGACGTCGGAGATCTGGGTAGTTCGTTTTCCAGTCACCGGGGAGCGTCAAGGACACCGAGCCAGCAGCGCTGCAGTTTGGAACACACCGACTACCGAACGCCCGTTCGTCACCGATTGAAACACCCGTCGTCGGTGCTGAGACATGGGCTCGGGGTCTGAATCTCGAGGGCCCTCTCCTACCCTTTGATCTAACAAGCGAACTGTGAACTGGCGACTAGCGTGGGCCCCATGACACATCGTAAACTGCACCTTCTGTGCAGGCACGCATGCAGAGTGTCGCAACGCACAGCGTAGCAATCAACTGCACGACACACCAAGCGCAAACCCCTAACGAAGTCACCCGTGCGCCACGTCCTCGCCGTCCGTCCCCGTCGCCGCCGTCGTGGGCGCCTGCAAGGTGCTCAGGGCGTTTTCACAGCTTTCGGCCGGGGCGCTCGGCGGAGGGTGGGGGTACCGAACGAGGGGGGGGAGTTCGAGGAGTGCAGGAAAGTGGCCCCGAGGGGGCCCCGAACGGCCTCTAACCTAAGCCGCAGCCGCGGACCCAGAAGATGCCCGAAAGGCGCACGTGTCTTCACCCTTCGTTTATCCTGGCATCGCTCGGACGTGTGCATTTTTTCTCGGCGAGGACCATCGAGGACCATCCTGGACCATCGAGGACAAAAAACACGCACGAAACCGAAAAATGCACGGGAAATGGACGTCCGAGCGACGGCAAGTCACCCTTCGTTTATTGCCCCACCGTGAACGGACGCCCGATCGGCGTCCGCTCTGTCGGGGCTGACGAGAGGGGACGGGGGGAAAGATCAGGAGAGGAAGAACCTCCCCTCCCCCACAAAGGCGTTTGCTACGCAGCCCTGGGCATTTGCTGAGCAGCCCTGTCTTGTCCGATTCCTTCCTTGGGTGCGTTTGCTAAACGGATTCGCTTGTTGGGGTGTGTTTTTTTACGAGGTTATTGATCCTGCTCTCTCAGAGGCGTAGGGGCGCTTCAAGCCGAGGCGGCAGGAGCTGAAGCAGCCACCAAATTTGCGTACATGTGTCATACCCCTGGGCAGACTACTAGGTTCACTGTTCTGGGGTGCTTCACCGTTTGCCGCGCTCCGAGAACCGACCAGAGCACGGGAGGTCCCTGGCGAAGAAGGAGGGCGGAACGTCTGCCGCCTGCAGCCGGACTCGACCCCGCCGCTCGCCACCCCCCTCGATGCACGGGGCGCCTCTGACGCCCCACACCCCCCGCGGAGGAGGAGGAGGAGGAGGAGGAGGACTTGGAGGAGGAGGAAAGGGAGGTCGAGGGGATACCAGAGAAGAGGGGGCCACGAAGAAGATCAGGGAAGAACCCGCAGCGCTTCATCCCTTTTCGCGCGCACGCGCCGAAAGGATTTCGCGCGAGCGG